ATTGGCCCGTGGCCACTACCAGTCCTGTGCAACCTGACCTGACCTGACCTGACTGACTGAACTGAACTGATTGGACCAGAACACAATCAGGACGCACCGTATTGGGTTTTGCTCATCCCCGCCCGTTTCATTTTCACCGGGATGCTGAAAATGGTCTCCAAAAACGTAAACGAAGTTTTAAGTCGAATCGAAACTGCTTACAGCTTGGTAGGATTATTGGTTCTTTTTACCTCAGGTTTCTTCAAACGGCCATTCACCGCCTCGGTTAGTGGCTGTCTCTAAGGAGAAGCCCGTTGACATGATTATACAGGCTTACGAAGCAGGACAAAAATATTTCGGCGAGAACAAGGTTTTAAGCATTATATTTTGAACCAATTAGTTAGATTAATGCATTGTTTGAGAAAAGTCACGATCCCAAAGTACGTTAAGTGCAGCTTTCCTTTATCCGCAGATTGTGGCCGCGTGTCCTGAAATTCAGTGGCATTTCATTGGTCGAATTCAGTCGAACAAAATAAAGAAACTAACCGGTATTTTTAATTACCAGAAGCTATTATCTTTTAGCTGCAAGGAATCTTGCGATGGTTGAGACCGTTGACTCTGCAGATCACGCCGAGCTTCTGAACTCTTCTTGGGGTGCGGTAAGCAGAAAGCCACTTCCAGTCTTGATACAAGTCAATACCAGTGGGGAGCCGCGTAAGCTGGTGGTTGGTGCTGAGTAATACATTATCTCAGAGAAAGGTGGTGTTCATCCAGACGAAATAGTGCGGTTGTTTCAACACGTCAAGGATAACTGTCCTAACTTATGTCTGAAGGGGTTAATGTGCATTGGAATGCAGTTCACTGGGCAGGAAAAACATCCAAATCCAGATTTTGTCGTAGGTTTCCGGATCGTAACGTAGTAATTACTTAGAAACTTGCTGAATGCCGGTCAATGCTTTGCGATGCGTTCAAGGTCCCCGTAGATGAATTTGAACTCAGCATGGGAATGTCGAATGATTTCGAAGAAGCAGTTTGTACACTTTTATTATGTTATTTTGCCTAAGATTTCCCTAGGAAGTACAAGTGTTCGTGTCGGAACCACAATTTTTGGTGAACGATGAGGTAATCCATCATTTTTTTCATCTGCTTTTAGCTCCACTCATGTCTTCGCCCGGTGATTCAACTTCAAACACTGCGATTCCAGTTGATGAAAACGGGAAACCCCTAAAACCATGTTGTGCCTGTCCCGATACTCGTCTCATTCGTGATCAATGTATTATGCAGTATGGTGAAGACAATTGTTTGGACTACATTGAGGCTCACAAAGAGTGTTTGAGAAGACTGGGTTTTCGCGTTTGATTTCTCTGTATACTCCCTAGTTGAATATAATTTAGTGAAAACAATCTTCCATTTTGATTATAACTTGTTTGCCCTTAAGTTTTGTGCATTTGCTTGCTACTTGCATTTATCGAGTATCCTATCGAAGGTTTCAACTTTTAAATCATTTCTACCCGTCCGTATACACCCGAGCTGCGCCACGTCTCAGCTCGATACCACGTATATCTTGTTCTCAGAACTTAGTTTGTTTGCTTCCGTGGGTTAAAGTGGGTCCCTGTGACAGCAGTTCGCCTTGTCTGCCGTTGATATTATAGAATAAATATAAAAAAGATGAAGATCCCCTAAACGGAAATATCACCTCTGGACTTCTAGAGAGCTTCTTTTGCAAAATATGACAAAGCGCGCACATCCCTTAAACATGAGCCCATCAAGAGCTTGAAGGATGACCGCTAGAAGTGGTGGATAGGCAAGTGTAGAAAGTTGGAGAGGGCTGTGGCTATAGATAATAGTCGCAATCGTTTAAGGTTATTTAGGAGTACAGGATCAAGGAAACTAGGCCGGAGGTAATTGGGGAATTTGACTACACACTGATGCATATTCACCAACACAGTCTCTAACGATGGTTAAGAAATTTGAAGGCCCCTCGACCAAACTTCCCAATACCTGCTTTAGCTGGGCTATTGCTGTCATTAGATATTAGTCCTCCATCGTGAATTTAGGTTACTCGGGAAATCAGTTACTCCAAAAGGTATAAGGTCCCCGGCCCAGATGAGCAGTTTTCATCGGCCTTCAAGGATGGAGGTTCAGCCTTGGAGAGAGAACAGGTTCCAACCGAATGGCGTGAATCGATCATCATACCGATTTACAAGAACGGTGACAGGTGCTCTTGTGAAAACCACAGAGGAATCAGCATTGTCTCCAAACTTCTTCCTGCTGCACGTGGAAGGTGTCCGCTTGAGAAGCAGGCCGGTTTTATAGCTGGTTGAGGTTGCATAGACCACATTTTCACCATTCTACTAATCTTAAAACACGGGCACTCAAGTCAAGTCAGAAAAAGCCTTATGCACCCAAAGGGTGAATTCTCAGCAGTTTACAATTTTTACAGTGAACAGATAAAACCAATTGCAAAACGAAAAAGACAATGTAAGAAATTCCACACTTGAGTAAACGAGAGAAAAGATAGTGCAAAAGGTTGTCCCTGGGGTGAGAAAGAATATTCTGACGATCAACTAGTGACCGTGCTAGATATTGAATTACACTGTTTTGATATGTGGAAGTACGCGCAGGAAGGAGTTCATATTTAAAGCGAGTTCGGGGATTTGACCGGGCTTTCCCGATATCTTTCGTAGACTCACCCTTTCCATCTTCCTCTATCTAAAAGCGGCTTTCAACTTAACCGACTGCTCTAAACTCTGGCACTACCTCTCTCTGAAGGGTGTTCCCGAGGTGTTTATTTTAGTGTTAAGGGTGGTGGTAGCGCAGTGGTTTAGTCGCTGTACCCCTGCGGTCCGACTTAGGTTTCGGGTTACCATCCCTAGATAACGGGTCTTCGCGACTATGGGGTTCACCCCGTCTGTTTTTCATCACACACTGGTGTGTATCAATAAAATTACGATAGCTTTATAGTAATAGCCGTAGCCGAGTAGTAGCATTAGTAGAGGAAGTAGACAAGGGTCGTTATTTGGGAAGCTGTATCTCACCTGGCGTACGCATCACATATAAAGTATTGGCACGCATACAGAAGGCCCGGTTGGCATTTACCATCTTGAGACATCTATGGCACCGCGACATCCGGTTGTCCGAAACGGGTCGAGTATATACTGTAGTATTTAGACCAGTCCTGCTCCGCTCTACAGAGACAGCAGTTCCGGGATCAGGATAGAAACAGACTGTCGG